CTGGCAAATACCTGCAGATTCGTGTATGCGTGGGGCTACCTTGAAGATTATAGACATTCCTGTATGTGGCGACAGTTGTATGAGGACAGGTCTTTATAACACTTTTTAATGAAAAAAAATGTTAAATATTTAAACGTAACTACTCATCATTTCTTATGAAACAGTTATTGTGGTTCCCTTTCAAGTGAGTGCGAATCAAACCTGGCCTTTCCACTTTAAAACAAGTGTCACCACATGGGATATATTACGAGCACTTCACTCACCTCCATCAGGCGAGGCGGACATGGGGTTAAGAGTGATCTCCCCTCGCTCACATCAATCTTGGATTCCACACATCTCTACAGTTTGAACAAACGTGGAAGCTTTTTCAAAGGAATGGACTACACTGCTTGTCCTTTGGTCCGTGGCCAGCAGAAATAGCAGCGGGTTTGCTACAATATAAAGGCAGTGGTCCGGTGGGCCAGTCGAAAGCCAGAATTCACACCTACTTTGGTGTAGCAGTAATTTGTAGATATTCTAATCTGGCATTTCACGAGATAAGGAAATACTGAGAGAAAGGACAATTGAAGTTTCTAATAGATGGCAGTGTTGTCAGTAGAGTATTTTGGAGGGGTAGGTTTTTTAAACACCAGTCGATGTTTATTTGAGTAGTAGAAATAACCCAAAACACCATGGAGTTACTACATAACCAACAATCAATTTAGGAAACACCTCACACGGCACTTGCTTAACACACATCAAATAGTTTCTTCTTCCACATTCTACCGACCCGTTCAAATGAGCACGAGGGTGCAATGCAAAAGTTTTAAAAGGTCAAACATCACCAGAAATAGTCTACTTTTAATCACAGACGATACTACATATATTGCAGTTTATTTTTCATTTTGAATTTCCCATATTTAAAAAAAATATTTTCAGTCGACATCGTGGTTCTAAGTAAGAACTGTCGCTGTTCATCATGGTACATATAGCAGCGCCATCTAATATTTAATCCCAGCTGACAAGGGAATAATTCCAACATCCCACTGTGATCATCAGGGATGAAAATTGTCACTAGCCCGCTACCCCGAGTCAGTTTGTCTGCTATGAAAGACATCCTGAAGGGCTACAAGAATTTCAGGTTTTTAGGGATGTCCAAATACGATATCACTGTTTAGGCTAGTAAACGTTTGAGATTAATTTCTTGCACTGATTATTTTATCCAAATAAACATAGTTTTCACAAAACATTTTTTTCAAGCCACAAACATGTGTATAGTTTGTTTCAGATCTAAGTTTGCACTTTGAGTCTCCCGAGTTGCCAAACCAAATGCTGGAATTGATGATACTTATGTTAGCTACGTCTGGTGTCCAGCCGAAAGCTATCCCGGTTGCTTTCACCTTTAACAATGCCATGAGGCTAGGCCGCCTTTACCACGCCGGAAGCTGACGATGACGCCTCGTTCTGAGTTCTCCGTAACGTAGTTACCGTTGCCGTTCTCAACGTCCCCTTCTGTTTTCAACAGAATCACGATCGCTTTTGCTCCGTTGATCTCCACGTTGTGCTCACTACTGTATCTTTTCAAGCATTTTCAAGTCCAAGATGAATACAAGGCTTCACATTCAAGGTATTTAGGATCCCAATTATTCGACTTTAAAGTGTTAAGATGTTAAATTAGTGGTGAAATTCGTCGTAGTTAGGCAGCCGTATTGGGACTGAAGATGGCGGCCGCCATTTGCAATTGTTTCAATTCAAAGTGATTGATTTTGAAATTCATTTCGTAGGCTGTGATGACACATGTTGGTGTATTACAGTGTCGGACGATGTAGCATACACATTTTAGATAGCTTGTATTACGTGTTTAGAAGTTGTGGACCCAATTTATTCGTTAACTGTCTCGTTTTAGAACCCCAGGTAGCTGGATAACTGTTTAGCCGATGTGTGCCACATAGATTCAAATCAAATAGAAATGACCAAATCTAAAAGAGCTTTCTAGCAGCTAAATACACCAGACTATCTGCCTGACCTTCCTCCAGTATCTCTGGTACATATGATTGTTCTGATTTGTTCTTGGTAAACGTGTATTGACTCTAATATTACAATACTAGGCCAATACTAAATAGGGGGTAAAATGTATTTGTACGGAACTCAAAATATACTAGATTTTTTAAAAGTAGCCGTCGTCGTACATTTAACGGAGCTTTGCTTTTCTTTTCCAGCTCGGGAGGACATAATTCGGTATTATGGTACTCCTGCGGCTGTGAGTTTGTGGCCGTCTCAAGATGAGGAGTCCGACTGTGTATGTATTTTACATGCACTCCCTAACTTCTTCAGTCTGCTATAGCTGTTTTGTTACTATTAAGTATGTCCATTGCCTACAATATAGTGTGATTTGTTTTCTTAGCAAATCTCCCGATGTTCTGTCTCACTTGCCTTACTTTCTCCCTCCCTCCCCTCGATGAGTAGCGTTCCCAAGCTGTGTCCCTTTCCCGTTTCCCCGACCCCCTGAGTGTCTTCACTCCGTTCTGGGCCCGCCCCGTCTACGGCGAGACGCTCCCCGCCCCCGTCACCATCAATCACGCCGACCACTATCCTGCCCCAAGTGACGACGATGAAAGTGACTACTGGGTGTACGAGGACGAGGATGACCACAGCTTCGTGGATGACCGAGAGATTCATCCCTTGAGAAAGGCGCTGACGAGAGCGGCTGCCTTCTTTAGGAAGATCTTCTCGTAGACTCCTTATCCTTTTAATGTCTGAATGTGTGTGTGTGTGAGTGAGTGAGTGAGTGAGTAAGTGGATATATGTATAGGTGAGAGAGAGAGATAGATAGAGAGAGAGAGAGAGAGAGAGAGAGAGAGAGAGAGAGAGAGAGAGAGAGAGAGAGAGAGAGAGAGAGAGCTTGAACGGTTGAGAGAGTAAGATTTAGAGAGAGAGATTGAGATCGTGAGAGTAATTGAGAGAGATTCAGAGTAAATAAGAGAGAGAGCGTGCACGGTTGAGAGAGAGTGACAGAAAGATTTAGAGAGAGTTTGATATAGTGACAGTAAATGAGTGAGATTGAGAGAGTAAATGAAGGAGAGAGAGAGAGCTGTTTAATATGCATCCTCTCATTTTGGCACATTTTAGACACACCATTTTGGCCCATCTTTGGCTTACGTTTTGGCTTATTTTTCACATAATTGATGATCTTTAATCGCACAAGGTGATGCTATATATACTATTTTGGCCCCGTAATTTGGATCTCTCTTTTGGCATTTTACTTTCGACCTATTGTCATCTGAATAAATATTTCTGTAATGTACATACAAGTCGTCTGTTTTCACTACTGTGTTCCTTCCTTAGAGCTAATAATGATCTAGGGGACAGCGACATCGCAATATCGGCATCAGGCCACATCCCCGGCCTCTGATCTTGACACATAAAACCATCCTGATATTGTGAAACAGCTTGATATTTGCCCCTATATGGCTATGTTGCTGTCTCCTTAATGTATGAGCTGTACTGGCAAATACCTGCAGATTCGTGTATGCGTGGGGCTACCTTGAAGATTATAGACATTCCTGTATGTGGCGACAGTTGTATGAGGACAGGTCTTTATAACACTTTTTAATGAAAAAAAATGTTAAATATTTAAACGTAACTACTCATCATTTCTTATGAAACAGTTATTGTGGTTCCCTTTCAAGTGAGTGCGAATCAAACCTGGCCTTTCCACTTTAAAACAAGTGTCACCACATGGGATATATTACGAGCACTTCACTCACCTCCATCAGGCGAGGCGGACATGGGGTTAAGAGTGATCTCCCCTCGCTCACATCAATCTTGGATTCCACACATCTCTACAGTTTGAACAAACGTGGAAGCTTTTTCAAAGGAATGGACTACACTGCTTGTCCTTTGGTCCGTGGCCAGCAGAAATAGCAGCGGGTTTGCTACAATATAAAGGCAGTGGTCCGGTGGGCCAGTCGAAAGCCAGAATTCACACCTACTTTGGTGTAGCAGTAATTTGTAGATATTCTAATCTGGCATTTCACGAGATAAGGAAATACTGAGAGAAAGGACAATTGAAGTTTCTAATAGATGGCAGTGTTGTCAGTAGAGTATTTTGGAGGGGTAGGTTTTTTAAACACCAGTCGATGTTTATTTGAGTAGTAGAAATAACCCAAAACACCATGGAGTTACTACATAACCAACAATCAATTTAGGAAACACCTCACACGGCACTTGCTTAACACACATCAAATAGTTTCTTCTTCCACATTCTACCGACCCGTTCAAATGAGCACGAGGGTGCAATGCAAAAGTTTTAAAAGGTCAAACATCACCAGAAATAGTCTACTTTTAATCACAGACGATACTACATATATTGCAGTTTATTTTTCATTTTGAATTTCCCATATTTAAAAAAAATATTTTCAGTCGACATCGTGGTTCTAAGTAAGAACTGTCGCTGTTCATCATGGTACATATAGCAGCGCCATCTAATATTTAATCCCAGCTGACAAGGGAATAATTCCAACATCCCACTGTGATCATCAGGGATGAAAATTGTCACTAGCCCGCTACCCCGAGTCAGTTTGTCTGCTATGAAAGACATCCTGAAGGGCTACAAGAATTTCAGGTTTTTAGGGATGTCCAAATACGATATCACTGTTTAGGCTAGTAAACGTTTGAGATTAATTTCTTGCACTGATTATTTTATCCAAATAAACATAGTTTTCACAAAACATTTTTTTCAAGCCACAAACATGTGTATAGTTTGTTTCAGATCTAAGTTTGCACTTTGAGTCTCCCGAGTTGCCAAACCAAATGCTGGAATTGATGATACTTATGTTAGCTACGTCTGGTGTCCAGCCGAAAGCTATCCCGGTTGCTTTCACCTTTAACAATGCCATGAGGCTAGGCCGCCTTTACCACGCCGGAAGCTGACGATGACGCCTCGTTCTGAGTTCTCCGTAACGTAGTTACCGTTGCCGTTCTCAACGTCCCCTTCTGTTTTCAACAGAATCACAATCGCTTTTGCTCCGTTGATCTCCACGTTGTGCTCACTACTGTATCTTTTCAAGCATTTTCAAGTCCAAGATGAATACAAGGCTTCACATTCAAGGTATTTAGGATCCCAATTATTCGACTTTAAAGTGTTAAGATGTTAAATTAGTGGTGAAATTCGTCGTAGTTAGGCAGCCGTATTGGGACTGAAGATGGCGGCCGCCATTTGCAATTGTTTCAATTCAAAGTGATTGATTTTGAAATTCATTTCGTAGGCTGTGATGACACATGTTGGTGTATTACAGTGTCGGACGATGTAGCATACACATTTTAGATAGCTTGTATTACGTGTTTAGAAGTTGTGGACCCAATTTATTCGTTAACTGTCTCGTTTTAGAACCCCAGGTAGCTGGATAACTGTTTAGCCGATGTGTGCCACATAGATTCAAATCAAATAGAAATGACCAAATCTAAAAGAGCTTTCTAGCAGCTAAATACACCAGACTATCTGCCTGACCTTCCTCCAGTATCTCTGATACATATGATTGTTCTGATTTGTTCTTGGTAAACGTGTATTGACTCTAATATTACAATACTAGGCCAATACTAAATAGGGGGTAAAATGTATTTGTACGGAACTCAAAATATACTAGATTTTTTAAAAGTAGCCGTCGTCGTACATTTAACGGAGCTTTGCTTTTCTTTTCCAGCTCGGGAGGACATAATTCGGTATTATGGTACTCCTGCGGCTGTGAGTTTGTGGCCGTCTCAAGATGAGGAGTCCGACTGTGTATGTATTTTACATGCACTCCCTAACTTCTTCAGTCTGCTATAGCTGTTTTGTTACTATTAAGTATGTCCATTGCCTACAATATAGTGTGATTTGTTTTCTTAGCAAATCTCCCGATGTTTCTGTCTCACTTGCCTTACTTTCTCCCTCCCTCCCCTCGATGAGTAGCGTTCCCAAGCTGTGTCCCTTTCCCGTTTCCCCGACCCCCTGAGTGTCTTCACTCCGTTCTGGGCCCGCCCCGTCTACGGCGAGACGCTCCCCGCCCCCGTCACCATCAATCACGCCGACCACTATCCTGCCCCAAGTGACGACGATGAAAGTGACTACTGGGTGTACGAGGACGAGGATGACCACAGCTTCGTGGATGACCGAGAGATTCATCCCTTGAGAAAGGCGCTGACGAGAGCGGCTGCCTTCTTTAGGAAGATCTTCTCGTAGACTCCTTATCCTTTTAATGTCTGAATGTGTGTGTGTGTGAGTGAGTGAGTGAGTGAGTAAGTGGATATATGTATAGGTGAGAGAGAGAGATAGAGAGAGAGAGATAGAGAGAGAGAGAGAGAGAGAGAGAGAGAGAGAGAGAGAGAGAGAGAGAGAGAGAGAGAGAGAGAGAGAGCTTGAACGGTTGAGAGAGTAAGATTTAGAGAGAGAGATTGAGATCGTGAGAGTAATTGAGAGAGATTCAGAGTAAATAAGAGAGAGAGCGTGCACGGTTGAGAGAGAGTGACAGAAAGATTTAGAGAGAGTTTGATATAGTGACAGTAAATGAGTGAGATTGAGAGAGTAAATGAAGGAGAGAGAGAGCTGTTTAATATGCATCCTCTCATTTTGGCACATTTTAGACACACCATTTTGGCCCATCTTTGGCTTACGTTTTGGCTTATTTTTCACATAATTGATGATCTTTAATCGCACAAGGTGATGCTATATATACTATTTTGGCCCCGTAATTTGGATCTCTCTTTTGGCATTTTACTTTCGACCTATTGTCATCTGAATAAATATTTCTGTAATGTACATACAAGTCGTCTGTTTTCACTACTGTGTTCCTTCCTTAGAGCTAATAATGATCTAGGGGACAGCGACATCGCAATATCGGCATCAGGCCACATCCCCGGCCTCTGATCTTGACACATAAAACCATCCTGATATTGTGAAACAGCTTGATATTTGCCCCTATATGGCTATGTTGCTGTCTCCTTAATGTATGAGCTGTACTGGCAAATACCTGCAGATTCGTGTATGCGTGGGGCTACCTTGAAGATTATAGACATTCCTGTATGTGGCGACAGTTGTATGAGGACAGGTCTTTATAACACTTTTTAATGAAAAAAAATGTTAAATATTTAAACGTAACTACTCATCATTTCTTATGAAACAGTTATTGTGGTTCCCTTTCAAGTGAGTGCGAATCAAACCTGGCCTTTCCACTTTAAAACAAGTGTCACCACATGGGATATATTACGAGCACTTCACTCACCTCCATCAGGCGAGGCGGACATGGGGTTAAGAGTGATCTCCCCTCGCTCACATCAATCTTGGATTCCACACATCTCTACAGTTTGAACAAACGTGGAAGCTTTTTCAAAGGAATGGACTACACTGCTTGTCCTTTGGTCCGTGGCCAGCAGAAATAGCAGCGGGTTTGCTACAATATAAAGGCAGTGGTCCGGTGGGCCAGTCGAAAGCCAGAATTCACACCTACTTTGGTGTAGCAGTAATTTGTAGATATTCTAATCTGGCATTTCACGAGATAAGGAAATACTGAGAGAAAGGACAATTGAAGTTTCTAATAGATGGCAGTGTTGTCAGTAGAGTATTTTGGAGGGGTAGGTTTTTTCAACACCAGTCGATGTTTATTTGAGTAGTAGAAATAACCCAAAACACCATGGAGTTACTACATAACCAACAATCAATTTAGGAAACACCTCACACGGCACTTGCTTAACACACATCAAATAGTTTCTTCTTCCACATTCTACCGACCCGTTCAAATGAGCACGAGGGTGCAATGCAAAAGTTTTAAAAGGTCAAACATCACCAGAAATAGTCTACTTTTAATCACAGACGATACTACATATATTGCAGTTTATTTTTCATTTTGAATTTCCCATATTTAAAAAAAATATTTTCAGTCGACATCGTGGTTCTAAGTAAGAACTGTCGCTGTTCATCATGGTACATATAGCAGCGCCATCTAATATTTAATCCCAGCTGACAAGGGAATAATTCCAACATCCCACTGTGATCATCAGGGATGAAAATTGTCACTAGCCCGCTACCCCGAGTCAGTTTGTCTGCTATGAAAGACATCCTGAAGGGCTACAAGAATTTCAGGTTTTTAGGGATGTCCAAATACGATATCACTGTTTAGGCTAGTAAACGTTTGAGATTAATTTCTTGCACTGATTATTTTATCCAAATAAACATAGTTTTCACAAAACATTTTTTTCAAGCCACAAACATGTGTATAGTTTGTTTCAGATCTAAGTTTGCACTTTGAGTCTCCCGAGTTGCCAAACCAAATGCTGGAATTGATGATACTTATGTTAGCTACGTCTGGTGTCCAGCCGAAAGCTATCCCGGTTGCTTTCACCTTTAACAATGCCATGAGGCTAGGCCGCCTTTACCACGCCGGAAGCTGACGATGACGCCTCGTTCTGAGTTCTCCGTAACGTAGTTACCGTTGCCGTTCTCAACGTCCCCTTCTGTTTTCAACAGAATCACGATCGCTTTTGCTCCGTTGATCTCCACGTTGTGCTCACTACTGTATCTTTTCAAGCATTTTCAAGTCCAAGATGAATACAAGGCTTCACATTCAAGGTATTTAGGATCCCAATTATTCGACTTTAAAGTGTTAAGATGTTAAATTAGTGGTGAAATTCGTCGTAGTTAGGCAGCCGTATTGGGACTGAAGATGGCGGCCGCCATTTGCAATTGTTTCAATTCAAAGTGATTGATTTTGAAATTCATTTCGTAGGCTGTGATGACACATGTTTGGTGTATTACAGTGTCGGACGATGTAGCATACACATTTTAGATAGCTTGTATTACGTGTTTAGAAGTTGTGGACCCAATTTATTCGTTAACTGTCTCGTTTTAGAACCCCAGGTAGCTGGATAACTGTTTAGCCGATGTGTGCCACATAGATTCAAATCAAATAGAAATGACCAAATCTAAAAGAGCTTTCTAGCAGCTAAATACACCAGACTATCTGCCTGACCTTCCTCCAGTATCTCTGGTACATATGATTGTTCTGATTTGTTCTTGGTAAACGTGTATTGACTCTAATATTACAATACTAGGCCAATACTAAATAGGGGGTAAAATGTATTTGTACGGAACTCAAAATATACTAGATTTTTTAAAAGTAGCCGTCGTCGTACATTTAACGGAGCTTTGCTTTTCTTTTCCAGCTCGGGAGGACATAATTCGGTATTATGGTACTCCTGCGGCTGTGAGTTTGTGGCCGTCTCAAGATGAGGAGTCCGACTGTGTATGTATTTTACATGCACTCCCTAACTTCTTCAGTCTGCTATAGCTGTTTTGTTACTATTAAGTATGTCCATTGCCTACAATATAGTGTGATTTGTTTTCTTAGCAAATCTCCCGATGTTTCTGTCTCACTTGCCTTACTTTCTCCCTCCCTCCCCTCGATGAGTAGCGTTCCCAAGCTGTGTCCCTTTCCCGTTTCCCCGACCCCCTGAGTGTCTTCACTCCGTTCTGGGCCCGCCCCGTCTACGGCGAGACGCTCCCCGCCCCCGTCACCATCAATCACGCCGACCACTATCCTGCCCCAAGTGACGACGATGAAAGTGACTACTGGGTGTACGAGGACGAGGATGACCACAGCTTCGTGGATGACCGAGAGATTCATCCCTTGAGAAAGGCGCTGACGAGAGCGGCTGCCTTCTTTAGGAAGATCTTCTCGTAGACTCCTTATCCTTTTAATGTCTGAATGTGTGTGTGTGTGAGTGAGTGAGTGAGTGAGTAAGTGGATATATGTATAGGTGAGAGAGAGAGATAGAGAGAGAGAGATAGACAGAGAGAGAGAGAGAGAGAGAGAGAGAGAGAGAGAGAGAGAGAGAGAGAGAGAGAGAGAGCTTGAACGGTTGAGAGAGTAAGATTTAGAGAGAGAGATTGAGATCGTGAGAGTAATTGAGAGAGATTCAGAGTAAATAAGAGAGAGAGCGTGCACGGTTGAGAGAGAGTGACAGAAAGATTTAGAGAGAGTTTGATATAGTGACAGTAAATGAGTGAGATTGAGAGAGTAAATGAAGGAGAGAGAGAGCTGTTTAATATGCATCCTCTCATTTTGGCACATTTTAGACACACCATTTTGGCCCATCTTTGGCTTACGTTTTGGCTTATTTTTCACATAATTGATGATCTTTAATCGCACAAGGTGATGCTATATATACTATTTTGGCCCCGTAATTTGGATCTCTCTTTTGGCATTTTACTTTCGACCTATTGTCATCTGAATAAATATTTCTGTAATGTACATACAAGTCGTCTGTTTTCACTACTGTGTTCCTTCCTTAGAGCTAATAATGATCTAGGGGACAGCGACATCGCAATATCGGCATCAGGCCACATCCCCGGCCTCTGATCTTGACACATAAAACCATCCTGATATTGTGAAACAGCTTGATATTTGCCCCTATATGGCTATGTTGCTGTCTCCTTAATGTATGAGCTGTACTGGCAAATACCTGCAGATTCGTGTATGCGTGGGGCTACCTTGAAGATTATAGACATTCCTGTATGTGGCGACAGTTGTATGAGGACAGGTCTTTATAACACTTTTTAATGAAAAAAAATGTTAAATATTTAAACGTAACTACTCATCATTTCTTATGAAACAGTTATTGTGGTTCCCTTTCAAGTGAGTGCGAATCAAACCTGGCCTTTCCACTTTAAAACAAGTGTCACCACATGGGATATATTACGAGCACTTCACTCACCTCCATCAGGCGAGGCGGACATGGGGTTAAGAGTGATCTCCCCTCGCTCACATCAATCTTGGATTCCACACATCTCTACAGTTTGAACAAACGTGGAAGCTTTTTCAAAGGAATGGACTACACTGCTTGTCCTTTGGTCCGTGGCCAGCAGAAATAGCAGCGGGTTTGCTACAATATAAAGGCAGTGGTCCGGTGGGCCAGTCGAAAGCCAGAATTCACACCTACTTTGGTGTAGCAGTAATTTGTAGATATTCTAATCTGGCATTTCACGAGATAAGGAAATACTGAGAGAAAGGACAATTGAAGTTTCTAATAGATGGCAGTGTTGTCAGTAGAGTATTTTGGAGGGGTAGGTTTTTTAAACACCAGTCGATGTTTATTTGAGTAGTAGAAATAACCCAAAACACCATGGAGTTACTACATAACCAACAATCAATTTAGGAAACACCTCACACGGCACTTGCTTAACACACATCAAATAGTTTCTTCTTCCACATTCTACCGACCCGTTCAAATGAGCACGAGGGTGCA